CTGGCCAAAACTTTTGGCCAAACGAAAAAGTTCATTGTTATGCGCAGATTTGAATTCGGATTTGTTAAAAACCAACATATTTTTCTTTCAGGCCGAAATCCAAGCGCGCTAGACGGGGCAGGCGGGGGCAGCAATGGCAGGTAAAGTCCAGCGCAGACAGAAATAGATGCGAATGCTCAGATTCACCTTTTTTTTTGCATATATTTTAGGATTCATTGTTGTTGTTGTTGTTGCTGCTGTTGTGGTTGCTGGCCACATTCGACAATGCGCCCATTGAAATTTGCATGGAAATTTGTTTCGGTGCCGTGGCTATCGCTGATGCTCCAAATCAGTGGAATATCTATGCGCATTACGCATACGTCACGTTTGACCGTTGCGGGAGGGGGGGCAGCGATGGATGGACGTCAAGTTGTTGGCATATTTTGCGCTGTATTTAGCAGCTTACCATGGCATATTAATTAACTTTTATGAGAGTGTAACCCACACACACACACGCACACATACGCATGCACGCACTATAGCTGAGGTTTGCTGTGTGCCACGCTGCGTATGTGTAATATTTCATTTAGGACCGTTGCGTCAGCCCACTTTATCTGCGCTCCTTTGGGTCTGCAAGATTTATTGCCTGCTTCAAAGATAAAGTCATTATTATGGCATTATAAAAGATGGCGAACGGCGCCCCGCAGCGCTTAGCGATATGAATCTTTGATGCATGTAATTGCCATCTCGACCCTTGTACGATCTCGTTCATTGATTTGCCGCCCTGGCTGCACACGGCACTCGGCTGGATGTAGAGCTATCTTCACTTTTGGCGGCCACTGTTTTATCGCTTGTCTTGGGCTAATTAAAATTTCATTAGACCGCGAACACGACGCATTCCGACAGCCATCAGCTGTCAGTGACTGCTGCAAGCGGGCTGCCTCGTTCCGGCTTTAACATGTTGGTAAACAAGTACATGGAAAATTAATTATGCATACGAGCGCAAATTGACAGCAGCCACGCCCATCACGGCAAACTCAAGCTAAGCACAATCAATAMCCAAMCCGAGCGACACGTGTAAAGCGTGTCAACGTAACTCGCAATTCGATACGCCCCAGCAAATATTTGACCCCAAAARAAGGCAAAAGGGAGAAGAAGAAAATTTAAGCCCTTCGCGCTCTGCACTCGATGGTGGCGGCGGCCATTTGGCAGGCATTCAAGAAGCAACGGCAGCCATGGCCGCTGCATGGCGTCTACACAGCGCGACAAAATGGCCGACAAAATGGCGACAACATGGCTGAAGGTGCGCTTTAAAGCCATCAGGCTAGCCCTTAAAGAGATTAACAGCTGCAAATGGCCATCGGCACGCGATAACTGCAATTCCTGAGGTCGAGCAAAAAC